TCTGTCTAAACTAATCAGAATTCTGTAATTTTGCCCTCTCTCAGTATGTTATTATTATGCAATTATTGCATGGGTCCGAGTACAATAATTAAGGATTAATTTTCACCCGTATTTTCAAAGTTTTTATGAAAATGACTGAGTCACAGTAATGACAATGGCAATTTGTGAAAACTTTGAAAATTAATCCTTTACCCATTGATGCCTGAAGACTTTAAACGTACGCCCAGCCCTAAATACCTGGCTCTTTTACATATTAACAGCATTAGAATGCCGTAAAATATACAAGTTTGTAGACAAATAATATTAGTTTCTTTAGTGCACTTTTATTACAACTAGAAAAATTTAAAGAGCAAGTTATAACTATAAAAGGTCATCAATCTTGATAAATTGACCTCATTACCAAACTTGAAAACAACGACTCTATTTTCTTCACTACTGCATGCCATTTTAGAAACTTGCGAAAGCACAAAGATTTTGTACAAAAGATAAAAATATCTATATTGACTTTTTGGGTCATTTTAATGTTTTGCATGTGGTCTTCAATTTACTCGACAAACATCGCCTCGCATTTTTTTTCGCTAATTTCCTCTTCGTTTTCGAGAAATAACGTCTTGCAAAAACATGTCGGCGCGCTTTGCAAAGAAACCTTTTGTTTCTCTGAACAATGAAAACTCAGTCTTTTGTTTCTCTGAACAATGAAAACTCAGCCAAGCGCTAAAACAGCCGCCGTACAGAGATTTACTAATCGAATCAAGGCTTTCAGTGTTTAGTTAAAACAATATTTATTCTGTTAACAGCGGTTTGCTGAGGACCACGCAATCATTCCAAAAGAATTACGAAATAAAATACGTTATTCGAGTTTATTGCAACGCAAAGTCAACAAAAACTAAATCGAGCGGTGATGTGTCGAGATTATAAACCGCTATGCGTAAACAATGACAACAATGTCCGGCGAAAACCAATACTCTGCCATGATTCTTAACTACGATACGTACGCGTTCAAGCTAAATTAAATTCAGTCTTTTCGATCTGCTATCCGATCCGCATAACCGAGGAACATGTTCTTTCCTCTATCAACCACTGGCAAGCTCAAATCCCGGCTTGTGGCTTTATAATACGGGGTATACGGTATTTTCCTGAGGAAATATTCTTTCAAGATGGCGGCAAGCCCCGCGCTCATTTCCAGTTCGCTCGTGGCCAAGGAAATAGTTTATTTTCCCTCCAAAATAAGCGTTTTCCTATTGCAGAACTGCAGTGCCGTTTGCAGAAAAACAAAAACCTAAGACGCTTGTAATGCGGTACATGTATAGTATCATAAAGATCCAATGATTTCACAAGTTCAGCGTGTTAGCGCAGTGGTCTAGGCTCTGAGCGTTGACCAGCGAAGAATTCGGCGCCATTCATACAATCGGCCTGGCTTTCCAACCCAACATTATTGAAGCGTTCTTGTAACAGTTGAAGCAAATACACGAGCATATTATTTTGAAGCTAAAATTCAGCAGTGAACTGTGCAGCAATTTCTATCCAGCCGATTTTGTGGAAACTTGCTCACAGTAAACATTGAAGTCTTGGAACTTATTGAACGTAATTAGCAAAAAATCTATCTTCATTTTATGAAAATATTCGCGATTTCGTAAAAATCAAGGTTTTCCAGTAGCGCTTGTATCTCTAAATCTTAAATTTCGTTTGCCCTAAAATTAAAAGCCTTCTAAAATGTAAAAATTCCTTATTTTGAATACCAAAAATTACAGAAATCGGTTGACGCTTTCCTGCCGAAAAGTAGTTTTAAAAAAGGGAACCTCCGCTCCAATAAATAACCGCGGGCCACCTTAAGTTTGTTAATCCTTGCGATCAAATAATCAAATCAGTAAACTTTGTGATTATCTTGTTTGTTTATTACATAGCATAAGTGACAAATATAGCAAAATAATATTATATCAGTGAAATTAAGCAAAAGTGACAAATAAGTGAAGAAATTTCCAAAAAATATAATCAAATCATAAAATGACAATGTCATAAGTCTGAGGGACAGGGGGAAGCGGGCCGAGCCTTTCTCTCAATGGTATTTCCTCCAGTTGTTTTACATCGCGCTTCCCCCTGACCTTGGTATAACAAAAGTAAAAAGAAAATGTGAAAAAGGTAATAAAACTGTAAATGAGATCATAAAAACAGAGGCAATATACAAAGCGTGAACAAATTCGACAAAAAAAAGTTCAGAAGGAAAATACGTTGCTTGAATGTCAGTGTTATTAAAGTCAAAGCTTGGTGAATATGTTGGTGCTTGTGTAGTTGATTCTTGTGCGGGTGCTTGTGTTGTTGATTCTTGTGCGGGTGCTTGTGTTGTTGATTCTTGTGCGGGTGCTTGTGTAGTTGATTCTTGTGCGGGTGCTTGTGTTGTTGATTCTTGTGCGGGTGCTTGTGTAGTTGATTCTTGTGCGGGTGCTTGTGTAGTTGATTCTTGTGCGGGTGCTTGTGTAGTTGATTCTTGTGCGGGTGCTTGTGTAGTTGATTCTTGTGCGGGTGCTTGTGTAGTTGATTCTTGTGCGGGTGCTTGTGTAGTTGATTCTTGTGCGGGTGCTTGTGTAGTTGATTCTTGTGCGGGTGCTTGTGTAGTTGATTCTTGTGCGGGTGCTTGTGTTGTTGATTCTTGTGCGGGTGCTTGTGTTGTTGATTCTTGTGCGGGTGCTTGTGTTGTTGATTCTTGTGCGGGTGCTTGTGTTGTTGATTCTTGTGCGGGTGCTTGTGTTGTTGATTCTTGTGCGGGTGCTTGTGTTGTTGATTCTTGTGCGGGTGCTTGTGTTGTTGATTCTTGCGTGGGTGCTTGTGTTGTTGATTCTTGCGCGGGTGCTTGTGTTGTTGATTCTTGTGCGGGTGCTTGTGTTGTTGATTCTTGTGCGGGTGCTTGTGTAGTTGATTCTTGTGCGGGTGCTTGTGTTGTTGATTCTTGTGCGGGTGCTTGTGTTGTTGATTCTTGTGCGGGTGCTTGTGTTGTTGATTCTTGTGCGGGTGCTTGTGTTGTTGATTCTTGTGCGGGTGCTTGTGTTGTTGATTCTTGTGCGGGTGCTTGTGTAGTTGATTCTTGTGCGGGTGCTTGTGTTGTTGATTCTTGTGCGGGTGCTTGTGTTGTTGATTCTTGTGCGGGTGCTTGTGTAGTTGATTCTTGTGCGGGTGCTTGTGTAGTTGATTCTTGTGCGGGTGCTTGTGTAGTTGATTCTTGTGCGGGTGCTTGTGTAGTTGATTCTTGTGCGGGTGCTTGTGTAGTTGATTCTTGTGCGGGTGCTTGTTGTTGATTCTTGTGCGGGTGCTTGTGTAGTTGATTCTTGTGCGGGTGCTTGTGTAGTTGATTCTTGTGCGGGTGCTTGTGTAGTTGATTCTTGTGCGGGTGCTTGTGTAGTTGATTCTTGTGCGGGTGCTTGTGTAGTTGATTCTTGTGCGGGTGCTTGTGTAGTTGATTCTTGTGCGGGTGCTTGTGTTGATTCTTGTGTGGGTGCTTGTGTAGTTGATTCTTGTGCGGGTGCTTGTGTAGTTGATTCTTGTGCGGGTGCTTGTGTAGTTGATTCTTGTGCGGGTGCTTGTGTAGTTGATTCTTGTGCGGGTGCTTGTGTAGTTGATTCTTGTGCGGGTGCTTGTGTTGTTGATTCTTGTGCGGGTGCTTGTGTTGTTGATTCTTGTGCGGGTGCTTGTGTAGTTGATTCTTGTGCGGGTGCTTGTGTAGTTGATTCTTGTGCGGGTGCTTGTGTAGTTGATTCTTGTGCGGGTGCTTGTGTTGTTGATTCTTGTGCGGGTGCTTGTGTAGTTGATTCTTGTGCGGGTGCTTGTGTAGTTGATTCTTGTGCGGGTGCTTGTGTAGTTGATTCTTGTGCGGGTGCTTGTGTAGTTGATTCTTGTGCGGGTGCTTGTGTTGATTCTTGTGCTGGTGCTTTTAGTACTGGTTTGGTGGTAGCTGGTGGTCCTTTTTTGGTTTCTGCTGCTGCTGCTGCTGTCGTTGTGGTTGTCCTTCTTGAATTTGTTGTAAATGAAGGTGGTTTGATGCAAACTGAAGGAGGTGATGTTGGAAAGTTGGTGCAGTTTAGGTGAGATGGCCAGGGAAGATGAATCTTGTGGAAGTGGTGGATGCAATTAAAATAAACGTGGTGGCAAACAGAACGGCATGGAAGAAGTGGAGGAATATCGTCGTGGATTGTGCAGAGTGGAAGATGGGCCAAACAAACAAATAATAGAGTGAATTCAGAGCAGTTGATGTGGACGAGCAGAATAAAATGAGAGATGATTGTGTGCACGTGGTTCTGGTCTTGGGGTGGCAGTGGTGTCGTGTACTGATTCACTGTGCTGTTAACTGCCGCCTTGCACTCATGAACTCCCATTACGTGGCCCGCGGAGCATTGCCCATTATATCTTGCTGGCGGACCTCCATAAACTGAGACGGGCAAAAGAAACATAAGACTCAGGATCAAGAACATTGTGCGACTTCTGAACTGAAACTGACTATGAACGTTGAGATCGCAAAGCAGAATGTGAGATAAATGCTGCGTATCGCTTGGACAAGGCTGAACCGTTTCCGTTTCGCATTCATCATCCAATGAAAAGCTGTCGATTCCAACATAGATGAATGGGCATAAGGAATCCATTCATTGCAAAGAAACCTTCTTTGTTTTTCATTGGCTAAAATAGTAACAAGTACGATCATGATCTTAAAGGAAGCATTATTCTTAAAATGTCTGGCCTTTTTCAGGAGCAACAGAAAAGATGATGGTTGATGATAGTCGAAACTCGCGCTATTATAAAAGCCCTGGTCAAACGGCCCATGATAATCGAAGATACATTTATATCGTCTGCACGGTGAAATTATAGGTTTCTGTTTTCGCGCCATCACTTTCCCGGAATATATTTGAGATCGCGTTGTCGAATCCCTTGTCTAGATTACCCGCTAAATTAAATTACGTAGAGAATGTCCGACGAAAGCCAATGCTTTGTGTCTTAACTTACCGTATACTTTCATCGATTGTGTGGTGGCCTAATGGTTAGCGCGATGGATTCCGGATCAAGCGGTCCGGGTTCGAGCCCTGGCCAGGGTCATTGTGTTGTGTTCTTGGGCAAGATACCGTAAATACTGGCGTATAGCCGCACCTTTTTTCCCAGAAATTTCATTCCAAATTGAGGGTGCGGCTTATCTGCGAGAACATCTATAAAAGGTTCTGTAAATTTTCCCAAGCAACACTTTTTACACCAAAACAATAAGCTTACAACTCAAAACAATTGAAGGGCCGAGGGCATTACCGACCTATATTGATCTTTAGCCTTCTTTTTTTTCCGCTCAGATTTGCCTCGTTTTTATCTTATGACCTACAAATTAGTTGCAAAACATCGCCCCATAATTTTTTCCGCTAGTTTCTCCTTCCTTGTGATTTGCTATTGAGATCACGGCCGTGTTTTGAATTATAAAAATATTTATGAGATTAGGTGATTAAACTGAAACTCAGTTAAAACAATAAACAAACCGTTTTACAGCCCCCCTCTCCCCTATCAATGTTGGAGCCTAGCAATTCAATCCTGTGAGAATAAGGTAGTGTCTGTGCAAATGACTCACAACATTGATTGGAGGGGGTGGGGGGGGGGGGGGGGGGCGGAGTCTACTGTAAATAACAGAAAAATAAGACTGCAAAAGTACAATGTTTCAACACTTCTGTAACTCATTGGCTGCAACAGAAAACTTATTTTACTCAAGAAATCTGTGTATATTAACATGAAAAATGAAATTATTGAAGAAAAAAAGATGTTGCGCATTAGGATTCCAACCTTCCAAAATGATTGATCATACCTCTGTCGCCTAGCCGACTGTTTCACAGAGCTAACCACGTGTTCTCTTGTGTAACTTTAACTATAACTGCGAATCAAGGATGTGAAAGTAACGCGACCAGTTACTACGCGAACAACGGCATTAGCTTCGTAAACATTGACAATATCTCTGTTTTATCATGTTTCTGTTTTATATAGCCTGCGTCGCAGACGAACTCAATCGCCATGCTCTTCGCAAATTTAGCTGTTAAACTCAGCAGCTGATCAACAGCATGTTGTGATGTTCTTTTGTAGCATCAGTTAGGCCAGGTAAACGCTAATTTTTGTTTAGTTTATATCGCCATAAAGCCACTGTAACAACGTATATATTTTTATAACTCTAAACACGGCCGTGATCTCATTAGAAAATCACTGTAACGGCGTCCATTTTACCGCTTAACTGATCTTTATTGTTCAAAGAAACAAAGGGTTTGTTCACGGCAAAGCGATACTGACTTAAAAACAAATGTTTTTGAACACGTTATTTCTCGAAAACAAGGGATAAACGAGCCAAAAAAATTACAGGGGCGATGTTTTGCAACTAATTTGTAGGTCACAAACCAAAAACTAGGCAAATCTGAGCGGAAAAAAAAGGCTAAAGATCAATATAGGTCGTTAATGCCCTCGGCCCTTCAATTATAAGAGAGCGAGACTGGTTGTTTGCAGTGTTGCTGAGGACTTTAATAAAATGGTAAAATGAAATTTGTTGAACTTGTTCTCAAACTCCCTTTGAGCAATGAGTAAATTATTGTCTCCAATGGATGGCTTACAGACATCATTGTAGACGTGAATGGGTGATAACCACCAATGCGAACGGCACTGTAAACCACAATAGGGAACTTCAACCGGAAGTTGAATGTTTTCTTCTTTGGCGCATATTATCGACTTTTTGTACGTTAAGTCAAGTTTTAAATGCTAAAAAGAGAGCTTTCCAACTCATTGATGTGTGTGAAAGTGCGCTAAAAACAAGAACATTGCCCTCAACCTTGATCCCAGGCTCTCTCTCCTTTTCCTCCCTTGTCGTTGAGGAGAGAGACCCTGGTTGCGGCTGGTCACGTGACTATGCGGTTACAACAATACTGCAGGAAGGGTGGGTCTTTAAGGCCGTTTTGTCAAGCTGAACAAATTACCAACCAGGGGATCAAAGGGACAAATCGAGCTTGGTTCAAAATGGAACAGCATTTTTATATGGCAAGATTATGTTAAAAGTGAAACAGGCTATTTGTATAGAACATTTGTTTTTATTCTGTACAACTTCATGACATGAACATTTATTATTCAACAAATTGTAACACTGTTCAAATATGGTCATGATGCACTCAATATCTGTTGACCGTACTCAACAGATATCCTGCGATATATGTAATTTTGTATGCACACGGTAAAATGTTCAAGTTCTTGAAATAAAACTCAGGAAGAATATTTTTTTAAGTTGTGTTATCAATTTGTTCAATCTTGCGGAATATCGACTGATTTTAGCCAACTCGGCCTACGGCCTCGTCGGCTAAGTATCAGGCGATATCCTGTGCGATTTCGCAGGATAATTGTTAAGTATACGTTACGGATATTTTCGAGCCACCAATTAAGCACGGAAATTACGAGAATGCAAAAATTCGCCTTGCGAAGCTACATGTACGTACCGGCTCATTAAATATAAACGATGAACCATCGACTTCATGCACTTTTACACTAAGTAGACATGATCGTAAAGCTAAACGAGGTTGTAGACCAGACACCTTGGTCTCAAACCAACTTTGAAAACAACAGCTTGGCGAGCTCGTTCACTGGCCCTGCGAACTCACTAGATTAAAACACAACGGCAAGGCTTATTTACAAATTCATTTGGAGCGAAATAGTCCAAATTTTAGGATAAAAGAGTAGCTTATTATTCTGTCGTTAGTATGAGATTATCAATAATCATAGTTAACTGGGAGATCTTCTGTTGGCCAGCGGGTGATCTATTGACGCATGTGCATTTGGAGTTGTTTCCGAGAAGAGTTGCCCTCGTGGCGTGTTTGCACAAGTTGCGATTTACGTTGGCTTGTATTTTGCATTCTGTTTGCTCCCGCCCTCCCACCTCTGGGTCCTAGTCAGTATTTTGGGATTAGGTAAGTCCTTTTCTTTTTATTCTCCACTGAGACATCAGTGTGACAGGTGCCTTGGGGGGGTTGACCCTTGTGAGGTTGCCATGGTTACCCCCTCGTTTGCTTATATTTTGCTCATGTTCATTTGCCTTTTGCCCACGTTGCTCACAACTGGCACCTACCCTCCATTTAGGCACTGCTCTTCGACAAGTTAATTGACCGTAATATAGTTTTCTTGTGTCAAAAAATCTACAACAACAACCGCTCGAAGCGGTTCCTTGAAAATCAACAACCTTGTACTGCAAAAATGTCAAACGGACAGTATGAAGGAATTTGTTTCCATTGGCAGTTTTTTGCAGTGAATTCTTTAAATGATCGGCTTTCTTCCGTGGACAAAATTACGTTGTAAAACGTCCGATTGATCGACGTATAGAGCAAACGTACGGCCTGGCAAAGCCTGTAGAAGCTTGATGTAAGCATATGTACAAACATTTTTGGTGCTTGCTTTTCTTGCGAGTTGTTTGAAGACCTGTTGCGTCTGCGAGTTGCGACTCAGAGTCAACGCTCTCACCCTCTCATGGTAGATTTGTCACAGCAACAACTCTAACACTCTACCACCCCTCCCGCCGAATATATTTTTTTACCACCCAGAATTTGGGTGGTCACGTGACCAGCCGCAACCAGGGTCTCTCTCCTCAACGACAAGGGAGGAAAGGAGAGAGAGCCTGGAATCGAGGTTGCATTGCCCTTTCAGTTGCCGTTAGTGGCTCAAAAATGTCTGTGCTTTAACTCTCTAATATTTATTTTCCTCGCCCCAGGCCTGACACGGTAAGGTGCCGATGAAATGCCTGGTTACTAAGCTCTTGATGCAATGAAGTATGCTTTTGTGTTGACACGGAAACTTCCCTCAAAAAACTAACATGACAAAAAACTTACATGGTGAGGACAATCATGTGCCTAAGTAGGTGTTCATGTAGGCTCGATTTCCGCCGCTATCTCGAGTCCGGTCTTGTTCCTCCCCGAGAAGAACGGCTGGACGCGTGAGCGAACAGCCGTGTCTGTGACGTAATCAAAACAAGTAATTTATGTAACGCTACTCCGGCTCGTGACATTCATTTATTTTCTATTATCTCTTATATTTTCGAAAGAAAAGGATCTGATCAGAAATATTCCGCGAAGGATGTTGATTTCTCGCCTTTATTGTGAAGCTATATGACTGAAAACCGGGATGAAAAATATTACAAGATGTAACATGACCAGTGCGTGACAAGAGACAATGTTTTGATGCAATTTCGCCAGAGACGTCGCGTTCTGGCACCACACGATTTTACATCAAATCCCAGATAAAATTCATCACACAAGTTTACCGACTGTTTTATGAATTGTATAGTACATGTCGAATGTCCAAATGGATCTCATTAGTTGCCTTGTGCGGTTGTAGTGGCTTTGCTCCCCGGCTTAGCGCGAACTTTCCGTGATGTATTTCCTTGGTGCGGATGAAAAATCCATCCTGTCGGTTGAATTACAAAGACATCATGCCCATTAATTTACATTAACGATTCCTATTGCATATATCTTCGAGAGTTTCAAGGCTAAATGTCTCTTGAAGACGATCGAATGCCGGCCCAAACAACTGCTTTGCATCCGTGAAAGATAATTTATGCCTGCTCGATTCGTGCAGGCACGTTTCTCATTGGTGGAAATTAACAATGCCAAGCTCACGACTCCAGCCGTGCCTTCGGGGGATGAGCGTGGGCTCATTTTCCCGAACAGCGGCTGGTAATCGAGCCTAGTGTTCATGCCCTTCACATAATAACTGAGTTGAAATTAGTTTCGATCGTTTCATGCGTTTCGTCCACGTAATTAATTGCAAAATTCTGACTTTATCTTTTAAAATAAACATCAAGCCAGAATTACTTTATGTGAGACCTAGTAGATCTCTTCAGTTGAATCGACCAAACTGTATTTAATGCTCAAATAATAAAGTTAATTAAATTTTCAATCCCCAGACGTCCATGTACAAATGTACAGTCGTCTCTATAGCTCTATCAAGTTTAGGTCTGCTAAACTAAAACAAACTACATCCCTTGTTATTAAAACATATTGTTTCATAAATTTCGCTTGTACTCAAAATAAGCACTACAAATCTTGGATATA